CTATGCAAGTTCGAATGTAATTTTTGAACAGCCTATTAATAAAATTATGGGGTTTATCCAGGTCATTCAGCAAAAAAAAAAACAGGTGAAAATTTTGAAAAACATGACTGTGTGTATTTTATGATGGCTTTCCAACATTCAAGTAAGAATATACCAAATAAAAGAGAAGAGAAGAGACCATGAGACAGTCATAGATAGCAAGAAAAGGAAGGTCAGAAAATAAAAAACAAAAAGATGGAAATATTGACACCGGGTTGAACAAGGGATGGTCTACGGTGTATCAAAACGTTTAGTGAGAGCGAAGTTTACTATGAGGTAGAAGAAAGAGACGGTGTTTGGTGAGTTTCCAGTAAAGGAAAGACCGGAGAAACAAAGAAACATGGGAAGAAATCGGGATAGGTTGACCCTAAAAAGCCGAAGTGAGACTAAAACTCAAGAGAGAATGGGCTCAATGTGAGTCTTGTTAGCCAAAAGATTCAATTGGATTTATGATGAGAATGAAATAGTATTTATAGATTTTTACCTACACGGTTTCAGATACCGGATTTCATGTCCTACGCTCGGTCGGGTATCGACTTATGGGTCTAACCCAATACAATGCACTTGAGTGTTTTTCACCTAATTTTCATGTCTTTTTGCACCACTTGGCCAATCATACGGCTCTGCGATGCTGCGCCTTACATCTCGTACTATTGGCAGCGTCTGATACAGTGGATCTAGCGTCGGGGTGCTGTCTTGGAGTCAACTCCTTTGTGCTTTAGTTGTTCTTTATGGACCACCTGCTTATTATCATAGCATGCATAAGGTGAAAGAATTTGACTCTTTGATTGAGAATTTAAACATGAATATATAAAAAAAATTTGAACTCAGAGTTTAAGAAATATATTTCATACTTAGCACGAATTCCTGTTACGGGACTTCAGGCTATGTGCTCCGTCTATGGGTGTTGATAGGGGATACATGTGCATCTCACCACTCTAGACCAAAATAACTTTGGGTGGCGGGGTACAATACCCGTAGCGAAGATCAGTCACGATTTGCCTAACCCATCAATTTATTTATGCCTTTGTAGATTATGGTCCAAATACCTCTAGAGTTTTGTATAAGGATAAACTCCAGCAACAGAGTTAAAGGTCCCGCCCGAGCCGTGGGATACATGGTATCACATGTTCGTTTAACCAGAATGGAAAGATTTGTCCAACATTTGTCTTCTCTGTTGTTGGAGTTCTAGTCTAGGACTCAGGTGACGAATAAGACATTTTCTACAATTTAAATGTTGCTCGAGAAATCCAACCTTAGACAGTTGTACAATCATGCACCTAAGATTTTCTTTCCGTTGTTGAATCATGAACGCAATTTTACAATCATGCACTCATGATTTTGCAGGGCCCAAAAGCCTGGGAGCCGAAAAGACATTCTTAAAAGCCAGAGATCCTGAATTCAGAGATTTCAGGGCACGAAATCCCTCCTGGAAGCTACAAACAAGACATCTACCAATTCCGCAAAACAATTGTGATTTTTCAAACTGAAATGTAATTTGACTTGCAGTGTAAACGTTCACAAATAGTTATTGATATTTGAGGTTTCCAAATCATGATACATGAATATAAAAGGCATAAGGCCCATTTGAATCATGCATAAGATATGAAGCGTTCAAG